TCTTCCGTAGGCTGCTCTGCCTGTGTGCTGACTGTGTCTGTGTGTTGTCTTCCGTAGGCTGCTCTGCCTGTGTGCTGACTGTATCTGTGTGTTGTCTTCCGTAGGCTGCTCTGCCGGTGTGCTGACTGTGTCTGTGTGTTGTCTTCTGTAGGCTGCTCTGCCGGTGTGCTGGCTGTGTCTGTGTGTTGTCTTCCGTAGGCTGCTCTGCTTGTGTGCTGACTTTGTAGGCTGCTGTGTCTGAACAGTCACTGTGGGGTTCTAGGCTGTGCATGCTGCTGCAGGACCTTTCTGCCTGCAGAAGTGACCGTGCGCCGTGTCGCGACCTTGCCTCCAGGCTCCCAGGTTGCGAGGGCACAGCTGGGTGCCGCTCTTAGGCTGCTCCAGTCTGTGAGATGGGCTCTTGTTTGGCCTGGCCTGGCTAGACCATGCTTCTGCCACTTACCTCCTGCCGTAGCTGGAACAATAGGCAAATGGCACAGGGCACGGCTCTCAGCTGGGACTGGCTCTTGGAAACCGTTTTCTCCCAATGGCCACAGCCTGACACCCCCAAGCTCCTCCTTCCAAGCATCGAGCACTGCGGCCCGATCTTCACTCCCCGCCCTGGCTCTGCTGAGCCTTTTGTCAGGCAAAGCCTGGCTGCGGTGTTTGAAGCAGCTGCACATCCACAAGGCAGCACTAACGCTTGGGACAGAGGAATAGGCTTTGTGCCCTGGCCTGGGCCCCGGAAGCCTCCGGCATAGGAGGTCCAAGCACAAACTCACCAGGGAGATCCACCAGAGCCCAGGTCACCTACTCTGAGCAGCTGCTCAGGCCCAGGGGCCCAGCTGTCACAGGCACACCTCTGCTCAGCCTCACCCCCGAGAGCACCGAGGACGGGAAAGCCCGGCCAGGGCAGCCTTCGTGGGGGTCTGGCAGTGTGAGGACAGGCTGCTTGCACGGGCTCTGCCCGGTCAGATGCAGGGCCAGCGGCGCGCTGTGTCCCCAGCAAGGTGACAGCGTCTTTCCAAGACCGCGCTGGCCCGGCCGAGCAGGACACGCTGAGAAGAAGCGGACGCCCCCGGGGGAAATAGCCGTGGGGAGGCGGGACGGACGCCGCACAAGCTGCTCGCCTTTGGAGGCCCCTGGCAGGCAGGATCCGTGTCACACACATGGCACGGGCCACAGGAAGAGGGTGTCCGGACCCCGCACCCCACGGAGACAATGCTGTCACACAAGGAGGCCAAGGAACCCCTCAGCCACACATGGGCAGCACAGGCACTGGACCGGGGGCAGCTGCCACCCCCAAGGGTTGGTGTCCGTCCTGTGTGGGAATGCTTCTGTTGTGGAGGACACAGTTATCTTCTGCAGGTCCTTTGACAAATGGATGCTCCGAGGCTCACTGTCTCCTCAGACAGCCCGGATCCACACCAGCCCCTCTCACCAGCCAACACGAGCGATGCTCTGGAAACAGGAGAACCACGCTCAGAAAGGAGCCTGGGATCTGCCTTCCCGTGTCGTCGTTCTCATTTAGTTGACCACATAACCTTTTCATTTTCCCATGAAGGTTTTGACGTTTTCCCTCGCATTTCCCCCTCAATCCTATTAAGACTTATTTTCTCCTACCCAGACTGTTTGAAAGACTGAAAAGTCAGAACTCGCGCGTCCCTCCAGTGTGCATTCGCTTGCACACTCCAGGTACTCAGAATGTCACTAGATCTTTGTTTCCTGTTTTTGGATTTTTTTTTGGTTTCTGCTGTTTTTGTTGTTTTTTCTAATGGTTCAGGGTGCATTTTTAGTCTGATAGATATAGGAAATGAGCAAGAGCATAGAAAATGCCTTCATTCTCAGTTTCAAAAAGTATTCTAATGCATATGTCTGTATATACAGACAGCATTTCCTATATGGAATGGAATCATAGTATAGATACCTTCCAACTTAGTCACACTGATTTTAAGCAATTACAAAAGATTTTATCTTCAAGCTATTGCAATTGAGACATGTTGGAAAGCACCATCTAAATTATCACTCTCATAAAATATAAAAAATAGATGATTATCTGAAAGCAATCAAGAAGTTATAAAGACAAGAAAGCATGAGTTTATAAAGACCTGGGGGAATAAAGGTTCAGAAAAGATTACGTGATTTCATAATTATCCAAAAGAGCGCATTGCGAGCAACCGCGGCAATTACGCAGAGCTGAACCTCAGAAATACCGATTTCTGATCAAATTATCTTTTCAACCCAAGAGCCATGCTAGCTGCAACCTCACAGGTGAATCGCCTCCAGCCGGGTTTGTGTTGTGGGCAGCTGGGAGTAATTACGTCTCCATCGTGACGTTGAACCTGCCTACCCCGACTGCTTGGCAGGCGGCCGGGCAGTCTGCCAGGCCTCCTGCCCTTGGTGTCTCTGTAAAACACTCCTGCTCGCGAGGCAGCGCTGAGCCTTGTTTTGAGATGACGTTTGCCAGCCCTTCATGCATTTCCATATCACTTCCCCCCACTGATTCTCAAATGGATATCGCAAGTTGTTCTTCTTGCACTTAAGAATATCAATTCTGGGCTGGGAAGGTGGCTCAGTGGTAGAGCGCTTGCCTTGCATGCCTGGGTTCGATTCCTCAGCATCACATAAGTAAAAAAAGAAAAAAGCTGGAAGTGGCACTGTGGCTCAAGTGGTAGAGCGCTAGCCTTGAGCTGAAGAGCTGAGGGACAGCGCCCAGGCC